GACTCACCTGCCTCATGAGCTCCGGGTTATTCAGCATGTGGCTTATCTCTGGATTTCGTTCCATGAGCTGCTGCATCTGGGGATTGGCCATGATCATCTGCCTCATGAGGTCAGGGTTGGACATCATGTTCTGCACCAGGGGATTCTCCATGATCTGGGAAAGCATCTCTGGGTTGGACATCAGCTGCCGCTGCATTTGCTGCTGGAGCTCCATGAAGTTGGCAGAGCCCATGCCAAGGTTGCCCAGCCCAGTGATGCCACCGAAACCAGCTGGAGAGGGAACAACACACGGGGAGAGAGGCGTGAGTCAGTAACTGTCGGCAGCTGCAAAAAGAGGGACAGGCGCATCAGCTGAACTGCACCCCACAAACCCAGGGGTATCCCACGTTCCTATGGCAGCCAGCTCTGAGGGGGGACACCCCTACAACACACCTCACTAAGGGCTGTGGTGTTACCCTGAGCAGGGACACCGAGGTCAGCCACGGGAGTGACTCATGCAAAGCCCACAGTGAGCAGAGGCAACAACGGGGGTCAAGAACCCTGACTCCTTGGACTAATCCCAGGAAATCGTTCCTTCTCACAGCCCCCACTTACAGAGGATGGATGGAGCACTGTTGGGGCCTCCATCTCCAGGACCTCCCATGGTCCCCGACCCGCTGCTCCGTCTGCTGCCACTCCCTGCGTCCGGGCCGGCACTGCTGGATGTGGAGGGCTGAGATGGGGCAGCAGGAGAAGAGGGGTTTGCACTGGGGGCAGAAGCAGCATTGGGGGCAGAAGCAGCAGATGTTGAATCCTGGACCCTGCAAAGGATCAGAGGGTGTTACACTCCTGGGGCTGGGGAAGGACGAGCAGAGTCCTTTGTGGGGACACGGGACACGCAGCCCGGGCTGACCGAGCTCCCGGCACACCGGTCACCCCCGCAGGAGCAGCCCCAGCTCCCCTCCCAACCCTGCCTGCACGGATCCCAGCTGTGCTCCCAGATGCCTCCCATCTGCTGCATTCTGCCTCCCATCCTGATGCACTGCAGCCCCTGACATGTTGTCCTGGCCCATACAGAGCAGTTGGACAGGTCTTACCCTGAGTTGTATCCAGCTCTTCCTTGAATCCCACTGAACTATTTACCTCAGCCATATCCTTGAGCAATGAGTTTGCTCCAAACAGGAAAATCCTCCTGCTGCTCCCACAGAAACCACAGGAGGTTACAGCAGGGCTAGTGCAAGGGGTAAACGAGACTCTGCACTTCTGAATAATCCTATCAGTGCTCCTGGGGCAAAAAGAAGTACCAGCATTACTCTACAGAGAGGGGGACTGAGGCACGAGGCAGCCAGCCCCTGCCCCACGAAGCTACGGCCAGTTTGGCTCCGAATTCCCAGCTCTGCCACTGGCTGTACCTTCATGCAAGACTCCTGCATCCAGCACAAGTTGTCTGGAGCTTATTTTAACACACCCACGCAGCCGCTGTGCCGTAGGGCACCACGCAGTAAGTGCTGGGCATCAGCTTTGCTAAGTACACCAACCCAGTCCAGGACCTTGTCACCCCAGTTCCTCCTCAGGAGCGTTACAGGAATTTGAAACAGAACACTTAAAGATTCTCTGAAGCCTCTGCAGTCACAACAGCGAGTCCTGGACTAGTGTTGAAGAGCTTCCACATGAATTTAGACCACAAAATTCACTTTACTTGCCGCCAATAATGCTATTATACCTCTGAAAATAAGAACAATTATTTCTCTGACGACTTTTTCTTTTCCAAACCAAGAATTATTCCATCTCTTTAACTCCCTTTCTCACTCTTATTCTAGCACTCGAAAGATCAACCCCAAAGGTCCCTGTCCACTGCCCAGACTCACCCAACTGCTGCTAAAAACCAGCAGCCACTGAGAGAGGCAGAGAGTGGGGAAACAAAGTAAAAGGGAAGCTGAACAAAAAAGGAAGAAGGAAGCTGGAGAAAGGGCACTCGGTTTCTATGAGCACAGGGAGAGACTGTAATGTATCCAGGACTATTGGCAGGAGAAAAATGAGCAGCTCAGGACAGCTCTGATTCACCCTTTGAAATGGTTCACCAGTACCACATTTGCTGTGGAGACAGCGGAAGAAGAGCATTAGGCTTTTCAGCTACCTGGAGAGGCAGAATCCACGGAAAGGTTCTTGCAGGACCTGACAATACACATCCCTGTCTTCGCAAAAAACAGGTGGGGAAAAGAAAAACAGGGCAAAAAAACCCATTTTGATTAATGCAGCTCTCCCAGGAGACAGCAGAACTGCACAGAGATGCCGCCCTGGAGCTTCCCAGGAGCCCAGACACACCATGGCAGGAGCCCAAGGCAGAGGCAGCCCTGGAGACTCCCACACTGCTCCACTGTGCACGTGGTCACACAGCCTGAACCTCCACTCACTCTCGAGGTGGAGCACTCACTGCGCTCAGAGCAGAGTACATGGCAAGAGATGACAGAAAAACTTGGGTGCTGGCTTCTCCAGCAACACAAATTCACTGAGAAAGTAATCTGTGTTATCAGCAACTCGGCTTTGTCAGAACCAGTATCAAGTTCCGACGGCTCCTGCCAAGATCAGTGAATTCTGAAGGCTCAAAATACACGAAGCCACACACACAGAGCTCACGTGAAAGGACCAGCCCCACCAAGTACCTGCCAAACCCCCACGGAGCAGACAAACCCCATTACAGGCAGAGAGAGCCTGGGAAAGCTCATCAGGAACTTTACCATCAGCTATTCCCAGCCCTCCTTTGCCCTCAGCCCCCCAAGACCAAACTCTTACTTCTGCGGAGTCTTAATGACCAAGTGCACAGTCAGCCCATCTTTGATCCCGTGTTGATTCAATGTGTCTCCATCCTTCAGGATCTTCCCAGCAAAGATCAGAACCAGCTGATCCTGTTTGGCTTTGAACCTCCTGGAAATCTCTTCTTTGAACTGGAAAACAAACAGAGCATTTTTCAGACCAGAAGGGCCGAGACCAGAAATGTAAAGCTCCAGGGATCAGATCCACCCTGGGAACAGCACCAGGGAGTGACAGGCCCCCAG